AGCATGTCCTTGCACTGCTTCACTGCATCCCAGAAAAGAGCTGGTTGTTCCCAAGCTTTCCACCAGCTCTTCCCTGCTGGAACAGTCCCCCAGATCCCTTTCACACACCTCTCCCTCCTCCAGTGGTCTGGATACAGCCGGCTATTGCATAACCCTAATTATGTTATTGCAGTAATTGCGTCTGCCGTCTGCAGCACATGGATTCGTTACAAGCTTTTCATATGCTAAAATGATTATTAATGAGTGCAGTCCCATCCCAGCGACAAACAACAGCCATGACAAAAAGATCTTTTGGAAGGCAATTAGCTCCATGCTAAGCTGCCTAAACCATGGGCTGTGCTGGGAAATTTCGGGCTGGGGAGGAAGCACTGCTAACGTGGTTTTTCTCTTCTCTTTTGATGAGTTAATGAGCGGCAGCAGGCACAGTCATTCTTGTGAAACAGCTCTGCTAAGGAGCCTTTCCCCATCTACCGAGGGAAAGAACATTTATCCCTGGATAAACAGAGGACAGAATGTATTCCCAGGTCACGGTGATGTATGCCCAGGTCACTGTTGTGTCGCTTTCCTCGGGAAAACAAAATGAAACAAAACAAAATGAAACCAAGCCAGGGAAAGATGAGGTTGGAGGGAACAAGAATAATTATTTTTTCAGTATAAGAGTGCCACCTGTGTCCTGGTACATCCCAGATCCTTCTCCACCCAGCAGTAGCTATGGGTGGTCTCCAGGGCTCTCCCTCCAGTTCAAGGCTTGGATGCATTGCTGTGCTCGTGATACCTGTGAGGACACATCCCATGGCCTAGTCATCCTCACATCTGAGCTGGAGTGCTGGAACGATGACTTTACCCCAATTCCTCATTATTTTAACTGCTTATGAAGTCTGATGAACAAATTTCCTGTCGTCACTTCAGAGGATGGAGAGCCTTGAGGTGAGAATGGAGGCTGCTCCTGTGAATATGGGGAAACTCAGACACATTAGGCTGGATCTTTTTGATATTCATCTAAGGATCTTCTGGAATCATCTGGGGAGGGATCCACTGGAGATGAGCAAAGCTGGAGTACAGAAGTAGCAGCAAATCTGCTCAGGATTCTCACTCTTGAGCTTTTGGAGGCAGGTTAAGCTAAATTTGCTGCTTTGCTTTGCTACCTTGTCTCATTCAGAGGGAATCTGGCTCAGTTTTGTGTTCTCAGCCTCTTGCTGGCTGTGGAAGTGTGAATCAATGACCTGTCCCTGTCCCAGGTGAGACCTGGTGGCCCTCCACAGGTGCCAGGGCACCCCTGGCACTGCCTCCCAGCTCTGGTGTGGGAGCTGTCAGCTGCAGGGGTGACAGGAGCAGCACAGGCAGCCTTGCAAATTCCAGCAGAGGAAATGGAAAGGGTCTCTGGGGTTTGGTGACAGCTTCTCAGTGGTTTTTGCATTAGGGGTATGCAAATGGCAGAGAGGCTCTAAATACCTCTGAGGATCTGGGCTGGAATCGAAGGCAAATAAAGACTCAGCAGGGATGTTGTCATCTTGCTGCTAGGATGCTTTAATACACACATTCATCATTTCTTTAGAGAGCAGTGATGGCTTCATTAGAAACTCTTCTGCATAAATAAGTCACTGGGCCATGGCAGAATTTGGATGGAAGGATATTATGTCTTCTCACTCATCTAGATTGGGGTATTGGAACATTTGTTTCCCTTTCTTTTTTATTTTATTCTTTTATTTTTCTTTTATTTTTGCCGCAAAATGCCTTGGTTTAGTGGGAAATGACTGTTTAGGTGTGTGGTGCCAGGGAATTGAGTCTGCAGGAGACCAGGATACTTTGGTGGGTGATGGCCCGTGGCCCCAGAACGCTGAGATCACATCCTGGGAGTCTGTCATGGCCAGAGCCCTGAAACTCTGATTCTTGAAACTCAGATCTGTGCATCCCATCCTGGGCTCCAGGGAACATTTCCTGCTGCTTTTCCTTGCTTGGATGAGTCATGGGAGTGTTGTGCTGCTGGGGAATGATCTCTGCAGGGCTGGAAAGGGATGGGGAGCTTTCAAACCCCTGTGAGTCACAAATTCAAGAGTCTGTTGCTACCAGGTGGAAAGGAAGCAGGACAAACTTGGAGAAGGAGTTGCTAAGTGTGTCTGTGCTCCAGTTTTTGGGAGCACCCTGTCCCTACACCCACTATCCTGCCACCACTTGGTGACAGCTCAACCAGAGAGGAAAAGGAGAATTTTAACTGCTTGTCAGAGCCAGATTGGCACCTCTGATTTCCTCCGCCGACCCCATTTATTTTTTGCTGTGATGAGCCCCCTTCTCTTCTCATTTCACCCATCTGGAGGGTGCCTATCCCACATTCATGAGGAGCTGCTCTCTTTTCAGGCACCATAAATCAATGTATTTCCTTGCTTTGCAGCCTGTTTTTCACAATTATGTGAAATGTGCACATGGATTCTTTCTTTTCCAGTGCCAAGGCACACCTTGCTTTTTGACCATAAGATTCCTTGTTTTCTCAGCCATGTTATGGATGCCACCAATTCCTGATGCAGCACAGATCCCTTGTGCAGCACAGATCTGATCTTCTCCAGCAGGTGATGCCAAGACCTGTTTTTTTTTTTCTGGGAGTAGCAAAGATCTAAGAAATATTTATTCTTCCTGCTCAGCATCTTCTCCTGGGGGCATTTCTGCAGGACAGGGCCTCCTGGGATTTCCAGATGCTCACTTTACTCACAGACAACTGTCCAGGTCCACTCAGGGATGGAGGGTCAGGCAGAGCGTAAAGAAAAACAAACCCACACCACTTTTCACTGGAGCACTCAGAATGAGAAACAGTTAGACCATGGTGAGACAGGAAGTTTAGAGAGTTTAAGAGTTAATTAATTAAGTAAATAGTTAACCTGAAAATATATATTTGCCTTTTAGAATGTATTAAACTCAACAGAAATCAGATACTGTCTGTAACCTTTTACCATCCCCATGTAAACCTCTGCAGTGCTCTCAAGAACGTGAGCTTCTTGTCCTCTTGTATGATAAGAAGAAATAACGTAAATATAAAAGGCCAAAAATTCAGAAGACCTAAATAAGTGGGGCCCTCAGACCCCTAAACTGGATAGATAGAAGTAATTCAGTAGTTTAGACAGTTACCGAAGAACGACAGAGCATATGCAAAACAAAAAAGTGAAAAGTTTAATGCAAAAAGGTTTGAGCCTTCATCCTCTAACCACCACCCTGCAACCACCAGAGTAAACTGCACCTGCCCAGAAGAGCACAGAACTGATTAACATATGAGGCAAAAATAAGCAGAACCAAAAAATAAATATGCATAAAATAATTTGTGCAATCCTATACATATATAATGCTTTAAAAGATAAATAAAAAATGTGAGCTCAGTAATTTTTGAGCAGGTTTTCAAAAGAGCAATCCCCTGTGTGCCCGAGCCTGCCAATAAAGCACACCTACTCTAAAACCACTACAGTTTTAGAGTCTTTCTGCAAATCAATGGGACTGAGTTAGACTAAGATTTCTGGCTGGTCCTAAGCCCAGAAGACAAAATGCCAGGACTCCAGGGAGAGAGATGTTTTTTGTGCCTGCTGGAAGTTGCAGTAAAATTAATGAGATTTGCACGAGTTTTTATGGTGAAACAGAGTTTTGCTTTGGAAAATGTCAGGCAAGAAGGATCTCTGTCTCCTATGGCTCCCTCTCTCATGAATTGCATCAACATGCCACCACCAAAACCAGGATATCAACAGAGAGTGACCCATTGCAGTAAATCAAGGTGGGATTGAAGGACACAAAACCAGTCTGAGCACAACTGGAGCCTCCTGGTGTGGAAGGGTTTCCCCCCATGCTCTTGCACTGCTCTGTCTTCCACAGGACACTCCAGCAGCTGCCCATCCTGCTCTGTCACGGAGTATTTTCCCACTCATCCACCTCAAGGATCCTCATCACACAGCACTTCAGTGTCCAATTTCTCCGCAGTGGCAAACAGCCTCCATCTCAGCAGGTGTCTCCACGCTGTTTACAGGACACCTGTCAGCTCTTTTGGCTCCCTGTCCCCTCTGCCTCCTAATTATAAAATTGTGGATTGCTGCAGCTATGGGCTTTTTTTTTTTCTTCTTTTTTTTTTTTTTTTTCCTCGTGCACAAAATGTCAAATTGCAGAAATTAAAAATGTAAATGATGGTGTCTAATTAACCAGTTGACAGCAGAGCACAGCTGCGAGTGACAGTGACTGATTACCTTCTGCAAACCTTGTCCTCCAAGACCTGCCTTACCCAGGGGAGGAAGGACATCAAAAATAGCAACTTCCTTAAAGAGACATCACTCTGCAGATGATGCCTGCTGGGCAATGGTTCTGGGGGATCCAGATCCTATGGATAACACTCCCAGTTCTCCTGAGCTCCAGGGGAATGCTGTTGACTCCTAGGAAAAGCAGGTTTTTCCCAGTCAGGCTGGACTTGAAGTCTGTTGCCACAAATATCAGTCCAGCTTAAAATATGGGGCAAAAAAGGAGATGCTGAGCAGGAGAGTTGTTGGGATAGACTGGATTGTGTGGAGAAGGTGGGTGATGTTAGCAATGATGTTAGCTGTAGTGGTGAGAATGGTGCAAGGAAAAATGCAAATATTTGGGGTTTTTCTGTGATGGGAGTGAAATCCTGAGCTCTCAGTGGGCAGTGAGGTCTCTCTGGGAAGAGAAGAAGGGCTGAAAACCCTTGGATGTCTGACAAAGTGATCCAGCTTCAATCCAGCTCCTATTGATGGCACAGGAAAGTTTACAGGATACTCCCCGGGGCTTCATTCTCAGATTGGGGTGAATGCAACACATGATGCTCAGGATTAGTGCTCAGGCATTTCCACTTTGGCTAGGTCACCCTTCTTGCTGTAAAAGAAGAGCATGAGCAGGTATTTCACTGAGGAACCAGAAAAGCCCAACACTAAGTGTGATTTTTGGCTCCTTTTTGTTTGTGGATTTCACTTCTTGAGCTCCTGCTCCTCCCCTCAAGAAAGACCTGTGTTTGTGGCCCTCAGGTACTACTCAGACATCGGAAAGATGCCAGCAATCAGCGACCAGGACATGAACGCTTACCTGGCTGAGCAGTCCCGCATGCACATGAACGAGTTCAACACCATGAGCGCGCTCTCCGAGATCTACTCCTACGTGGGCAAGTACAGCGAGGAGGTGAGAGCCTGGGGGCACCTCTGGGGGGCCAGGGGACAGCCCACCCATGCCCAGGTGTGTCACTGATACCTGTGTGCATCCTGGCTGGGAGGGTGAAGGATTTAAGGAATGAGCAACAAGGCTTGGGGTTTGGAAAGGCGAGGTCTGGGATTTTGGGTCTCCTCAGAACTCCTTTCTGGATCCCTGTTATTTTTGTCTCTCTTGTTCAGTCAGGCTCAGCTGGATTTGAAGTAGTTGATGGTCAGATGTTAACTCACTGCAGAGGAGCATTAACTGAGCTTTACATCCAAAGTGGCCAAAAGTTGCTTAAGGACTGTGCCCAGTGTCATTCCAGATCACCTAAAACACCCCAAAATGGTCCAGCACAGACTTTAAGGTGTCCAGCATGGTTCTATGTATTGAAGGCCATGTGAAACCCCTTAGGGCATCTCAAGTGGCATGGCCAGGTGATGGATAAAGCTCATAAATAAATAACTGATCTCCAGGATAAGAATCCATTTCATTGGTTGTGATCCAGAGGTCTGCACTGAGTCAGATTAAATCCAAACTTCCTGCCTAGTTCCCTCCTGGCTGACTGACTTCCCTTGCGTGATCTAAGCTAAGGCTGGGACCTGCTTTAGAGAAAGCTAACCCTCCTCTGCTGCTCTAAGATGCTGGGCTCAGTCATTCTGGGGAAAGAAACAGAAATTCCTATCACTTCTTCCTCTCTCCTTTTCTAGATTCTCGGAGCCCTCGATCAAGACGACCAGGCTGGGAAACAGAAACTAGCCTACAAACTTGAACAAGTCATAACCCTCATGAGCATAGACAGCTGAGAACTGTCCTGCCAGGGACACCCTGGGAGGGATAAACCAAGTCGTGCCTCACTCAAGATCATCATCTTTACCAAGTGCAAGTTTTGATGGGCTGTAAGCAGAGTCACCCGAACAGCGCTCCTCTCTCTGTCTCTCTCTCTCTCCCTCTCTCTCTTTCTCTCTTTTCCTTCTCTTCCCAAATCTATGGACAAAGCGACAGAGCCCCGGGGTTCAAAGGAAAGACTGCAGAGGAATCTTGGCTCTGGGGTCATGAAGACATTCGGATGGAGCTCTCCTTTTCACAGCTTCCCCTCTGCCTTTTGCCCTAGAGAGAAACTATTGAACACACGCAAAAACCCCACCAACCCTCCCCCAGCATCACGTCCTTGCTCTGCAGAGGTGAAACTGGGAGGAAACTTCTGTCATGCTGCTTTAACTGCCCTCCGAGGGCTGTAGCCTCTGGAGCGGACATGGAAACGAACTCAGTATTACTCAAGTGTCCCCAAGGGGAAGGCAGCCTGCCTGCAGCGCTCCTGGAGGGCAGAGCCAACCCAGCTCCTCTCCGGCAGAGCCGCTGCAGTTCTGTCTCTTGATAGTGACCCACTGGGAGAGGAGCCTCGAGGCTCCCTGAGAAATGCCACAGCTCCGTCCAGAGCAGGACCGCTGTGGCTCATCCTGCCTGGGCAATCAGCTGCTCTCCTGGGGCAGGGAAAGGGTCAAGAGGGGACGAGGAGACCGGCGCTCCCCTGCCCACGTGTTTCATATGGTTCTTCTTATTTTTCCAAGAGCCGCGTGTCCCCCTCCGTCTTTCCCGTCGTGTCCTGTTGGTCGTAGCCCTGCAGCAAAGCGCTCTCTCTGCTCGGTGGCATCCATCCGTGGTGGTGGTTCTGCTCCTCCTGGCAGTGGACAGCACAGCATCATCCCCCTCGTTCCCACCTCGGCTTGGAAAGCAGGAGCCACAGGCCTCGGTTTGTTCCAGGCAAGGAGCTCAGCCTCGAAAGAAGAACCAGAAGGGTTTTTTAATTATTTTTTTTTTTTAAGCTGTTCTTTCCATTTTGTTTCCTTGACTGGAACACAGCTGTTGTTTTCCCACAGTGGAATATCAGAGGGTTAGTGAAATGCTTGCTGTGAAGAGAGGTGGTGCACGGGGCTGATGGTAAAGCCTTCCTTCCAAGCCACTCCTATGAGGAAATGTCACCACACATTTTGGAAGGAAATCTTGGAGGAAATCCAAATGAAACACTGCAAAAAATTCTACCTAGATCCCCCCAGCCGAACTGCCTGTCTTCTGGAGGTCTCTGAACTGCTGTGAGCCCATCTGCCTTTTGGTGCCAACTCCCGTCCTTTCCTCTTCTCCATTTCTGGAACCAACAGGCCTTGCTGAAGGCACAATTGCTGCCTGGGAAGGATTTTATCTCTCTTTGCACTTCTTATCCCTTCAGGGATCACTGTTACCATGGGATAATTGTGGGGGATCACCCTCCCTGTCCCATCCTCTGCTCAGCTTCTCCAGAACATCTCAACTTGTTTCATGGCCAACCAAAGGGGAGTGAGCTCCTGCATCTCTTCTGCCTTCGGCTGTTCCATTCGCACGGCTGCCAGCCCAGATAACACCATGATTAGAGACTCCTGGGGAGTGGAGAACCTTCTTTGTACACCAGGGAGGCAAGAGCTGGGTCAGCATTCATCTCCCCAGACACAAGCAGAGCTCCCTGGCAGACGGAGGAGTGGCTGGAGAATCAGCCCACATCCACCTCACCCCATCCTCGAAGCCTCAGCCTGGATCTGCTTTGCAGCTGTAGGGAAGAAGGGGTGCAGGCAGGGCGTGTAAATTGATTACAGAACGAGTTGGTTTGGGTTTATTCCTGTCCCTTGCTATCAAATCAGAACCTCTTGGGAGTGACAGATCCTGAGCGTGTGTGAGGGGGGATTTGGTGCAAGCAGGAGTCAGTCAGCGGGAGGGTTTCCTTCAGCCAAGCAGATACACACGTAGGCGAGTCCAAAACCACTCAAAGAACAGCAGTCCAAAACTGGACGTGTCCGTGGGGAGAAAATCACCAAATTCACGTTGAAACAGCAAACTTAGGGACACGTCTTGGTTTTAAACCCCCAGACATTTCTCTCTTGATTACAATTCCGATTATTTCGTGCGTGTGCGTGTGCGTGTGTATCTGTGTGCGCGTGTGCGTTCCTTCCTTTTTTCTTTGGTTCTGCTTGCTTTCTGTTGGATTGCTGAGCTGATGGACTCATCATGCACCTTATGGACATCTCAGCAGTTTTAAGAGGCCTGCGCATTGGGGATGGTTTGGGTTTGGTTGGTTCTGCCATGGTTTTGTTGACCCATTTTAGTAACGTCGGCGCATGTTCCAGATCCATTGATTATGGCTGTGAAAGTGGGAAGTCCCACCAGAGCCAGTGGTAAGAAAATGACAACAAACAACACAAACACAGTATTTTTTATAAGTACTTAAATTTAAAAAAAAAATAAATAAAAAAAAAGGGAAAAATTAAAAAAAAAAAAAAAGGAAGAAACCAAAGGTTTTGACAAACAAAGTGCCACAAAAAGATAAATATGGACCCTATTGTCATGCCTTGTACTCACAGCTGGATGGTAGGAGTCTAAGGACAAAGAGCTGGCTTGGAGGGAAGTGGTTATGAGTGATGGGCGATCCTGCCTGGACATGCGCACATGAGAGGAAGAAGAAGCTGTTTAACAAAAAAAAAAAAAAAGTATCAAAATGAACTGGGTGTGATCCTGCACTGTTACTGAAGTCAGAGGAACACCACAGGGGAAATCTGAGACTCACCCTGTTTCTTTTTGATGTTTTCAGGGCTGTGTTTTTGGTTTGTTATGGTTGTTTTCCATGGTTGGTATTTTATTTCTTCTTGCTGGTACGGAGTTTTTCATCTGTATATTATATATATATATATTTTTCGAGAAAAACTTGAACACCTCAGAGACACTGAGAATGAAACACTTAGGGGAAATGGGAAGCACCAGGAGATTGGTGTCTTAACCCTTTCCAACTGCCCATTTAGGCATTTCTGCTTTCTCTCCACCCTCTTCTTTCCCCCATGCCCAGGATTTGAAAGAAAATCTGCGTTTTGCTTCTCTTTCATCTCCTCTTTATTTTTTTTTTGTCTTTCTGTTTCCTCTTTATTTTGGTGTTTGAGCTGGATTTGCTTTTTTGCTTGGAAAATGTGCCAGAATTGTGATGTAAATGCGTGGGCTTCCTCCCCTGTCCCCTTCAGTGCCCTTCCCATTTCCAACCAGTGTCCCAGAATCCCCCAGTCTATGAGAAGTCTTGGCATCTTTCTTCCCAGCCTCACCTGTTGAGCTATTTTTTAAGTGCATGTAAAATACAACTAAAAACAAAGACACAAGCAGAAGAATGAGCCCTACTACAACACGGATGTTTTCTTTTCCCTTGATTTCTTTTCCCCCACCTCCCTTTCCACACTCGACCAAAAATTCCTGATGAATAGGTAGTGTCCCACACTGTTTTTCATGCCCCGTGGAGAGAACTGGAGCCAAAGTTCCTAGAAGCCCATGGATAGGCTCCTAATATCTGGAATATTCCAGATGATAGGCTGATCTTTATGGGCGTTTCTCAAACACCGCAATCAAAAAATTAATGCTGACACCTGCAGCACCATCAGAAACAGGGGAAAGTGAACTTTTGAGGACTCTCTGAGGTTCTGTGGAGAGACTCAAGATTATTTCTTCACTGCAGGGTTTGGACTGGGGCTTTGCTACTGGGTTAGAGGAGCAAAGGGTGGACAGCTCCTCTGCCAACACCTCATGTCCTCATGAGTGGGACTCAGCTGTCAGCGACAGTGATCTGGGAACTGATCCATCACACCGTGTGCTGGTGCAGGCTGAGCCTTCCAGTGAACACCGGTGTGGGGAAGTTTGTGTGTGTCGAGAATGAGGTGGTGGAGATTGTTTGCCCTCCAACAGACAGCACAGGAGAACCATCAAGGGGAAATTTAGCCACCCGAGGTCACCTTCCTCTCCTAGTGTAGAATCATAGATTCACTTGGGTTGGAAAAGAACTCTAAAATCACAGCCTGAATGTTAAAACATGCCTCAGTCCTTCTCTTCCCACTCTTCATCCTGTCCTGAACATATCCAAAGGTTTGGTCCAACCCAGCACACACCAACCTTGCTCCAGTAGATAAGAGGGCTGTGCCACTTTTCATCCCTGTAGTGTTACCACTGCAGTTGTTTTATCTTGAATTTTTGACACTGAAGACCATTAAATTTATTGGGTCATGAAGAAGATTTACCAGCAGAATTTTGTTTGGTAATTGCTTTGATTGAAAAGTGATTACCAAAGTTTCCCAATCTTGTGCATTCACTTACAGGAAAATGTTTGCCATGAAGGAAATGAGACCAAGCAAACCAGATAAGTGTCATTATTTTTAATAATGCTGTCGAAAACTGATAGATCAGATTTGAAGAGCCCAGTCAGTGGTCAGCTTTGCTGTTGAAGCCTTCCCCTCTGAGTTTCCTGGGATGCCTGTGAGGTAAAAATCCAAGCACAATACAGCCAATATGAGGACAGTTGTTCAGAACTAAGTCAAAACATGAAATGTAGATCTGTCCTTCCCCAAGGCTTTAGCGAAGTGCTTTGGGAACAGACACTGCTATGTGGGAGACTCTTCCAAAGGAAGACTGGAAACAGGAATGACTTAGTCCCAGAGCTCTGCTAAATGGGACCTACATTTGTGTCTGCACAAAGGACACTCAGAATCACGGAATCACAGAACGATTTGGGTTGGAAGGGAGCTTAAAGATCATCTCTGTCCAACCCCTTGTCATGGGCAGGGACACCTCCCACTACCCCAGGGTGCTCCAAGCCCTGTCCAGCCTGGCCTTGGACACTTCCAGGGATCCAGGGCAGCCACAGCTTCCCTGGGTGACCACACAGCATCAGTGATTCCAGGACAATTTGCTCTGTACATTTGATAAGTAGTAAGAGTTGTCCTCCAGGGCAGGTGGAGGTTTTGGGATGTCCTAACTCTTGCCATCCAAACCTGGTGTGCTGTGGAGCAAGAAATTGTTGAAACACGTGAACCTCAACATCACAGTGTGAACTTCAACCTCCTGCCCATTCCCAGCCTGAATTTTCCTGCTGTGCACCTGGCGCAGCTCCCATTTCAGGGTAGTGTTTGGTCCATGGAATCCTGCAGTTTTCCCTCACCTCTGTGACTGTGCAGTGCCCCTTTCTCCAAAAAAAAATCGTGTTGTCTTACTGGGAGTGACTATTTTGTGGAGAATGCTTTGAAAACAGAGCTTGTCAACAATGTTTTATTTGGGATGGCTCAGTTCTCTACACTTGGAGAAGCACCCAAAGGGACACAGGCTAACAGCAAAAAAAAATTAAGAATTGTAGAAAGATGTCAAAAAAAAGTAAAAAAAACAAACAGAATTTACACTTGGAAAAATAAACCCACCAAAAACCCCACTGAAGTTATAAAGCTGCTTAGTCTAATCAACCTGTCACGTGTTTGATTTCTGTCGTTATTGTTGTTTGTTCATTGTTTGGTTGGTTTTGTTTGGTTGGTTTTTTGTTTTTATTTTTTAATCTTCTGTTCTAAAAATGGAGAGTTTACCTCAAGAAATTCTTTCTGCTTGGAAACAGATCACCTCAAAGACGCTCGCAGCAGAGAGCAGTGTGCAGGGAAGCTCAGTAAAGCAAACTTGGGTGTGGAAAACAGAGGGAAAACCAGGACATTCAGGCTCTTTTCAGCATTCCTTTCTCTTACTGGTGTGGTCTGGCATTCCCCAGTGGAGAAATTGCTGTTCTCTTTCAGATAGACTGAGGCACAAGAGCCAGTTGGAGAAATCAAGGCACATGTCCAAGCTTGAAGTCGTTTCTGAAGTATCTTAAGAGAAACTTGGTGTTATTTAAACTTTCTATGCTGCTCTTTCTCCATTCCCTGGAGAAATTCCACTTTCCAGCCCAGGCTGGGGTAAGGAAGCAGAGAGATTAGGTGCTAGCTAAATGCTCCCAGTGTTTTCCCCAAGGAATTGAGAGGCAACTGGATTATTTAAGGTCACAAGAGAGGCCTTCCTTGTGTCTGCCCCTGTGTCTTGGACATATATGTGAGCCCAGAAGTCTCATTCTCTGTTTTGCTAAAGCTTCCAACTTAAAATCAATGGAAAGACATTTCCTTTCACTACAGTGTTACTAACAGCCTCAAAGAGATGTCAAGACAGCATTAGAAAGGAGGTTGGGATCCTTTTTTCTTAGGTTGTTGTTGTTGTTGGTTTGATTTTCTTTTGAACTGATCCTAGTTAAAAAAGAAATAAAATCTATACTATTTAAATTGGAATCCCGTTGTTACTTGGTAAAGGCAAAGCTTCTGTACCTTTGTTATAATTAATTGTATACCTGTGTATGTAAATATAAGGCATTCCTATTTTGCAGTCCAGAACAAAAAAGAAAAAAAAAAAACAAACAACTATTTGTAATATAGAATAAAGTTTATTAAAAAAAATAAAGAAATAAAAATGCCCCAGGCTGTGATTGCTGCTTTCTGTGTCAAATGGAGCCAAAGAGAAGGAACTGAAGTCAAGGAAAAGCTGGAAAAGACCCTAAAGATCATTGAGTTCAGCTCTTAACCTAACACTACCATGTCCATCTCTAAACCATGTCCCTATATCCACACATTCTGTACCTTTCCTTTCCTTTCCTTTCCTTTCCTTTCCTTTCCTTTCCTTTCCTTTCCTTTCCTTTCCTTTCCTTTCCTTTCCTTTCCTTTCCCTGTCACACAAAAAGACATTTTTTGGTTTGCCTGTTTTTTTTCTTGCAGAGGTGAGATCCAGACAGGTTTTTCCGTTCCATTTGCTTTTGGGGTGTCATCAACTCTATTAAAAATAAAAAAATAGGTTGACAAGCTCATGAATTCAGGGATGCTCTAAAGGAACCATGTATGAGGCTCGTGGAATGCAAACAGCTTTCTACAGTCTCAGCTCCATGGAGATCATGAAAAGGAAGGGAGAGAGTGGATCTCAGAGGGAAAGGAATGAGTACAGCTCTGACAGCTTCAGCCTGGTACTGCTCAGCAATGTCTGGGTCCCGGTAGAGGAGCAGCATATGTTCACCTGTAACTGACCACTCATTTCCATGGAAATGAGACATCTCATTGTCCAGCTGCTCCTTGGGACACAGAGGAAGAGGCTGGGGCTCAAATCACTCTGCCATCACATCCCACCAGCAGCTCAGCCAGTCCCAGCAGTGTGTCACCCACACGAGCATCCCCCACCAGACCCCTCAGGACAGCAGGGTGAGTTTGGGAATTGATGCTAAAAATTTTTGTGTGCAAGGAAGAGCTTTAGGTTTTGGCTCTTCTGAATTATCAGTGTGTTTAGGGTAAAACCCAAAACCACCTCTAAATAAAGAGTTATGAAGTGTTTTGTTTTTCAGGGCATTGTTTAAAGCTAAACTAAAATATCTCACTAAAACCTTCCTTTCAGACAAAGTGGTTGTATTTACACTTCCACCAGAGTCGTTTTAGGCTGTGTCTCTGCCAAAAACTGCACAACAAGAGTGAGAATGTCCCTGTAGGAATAACAGCTTCCATGTCAGTAGGAGCAGACAGGAAAAGGAAAAGGTGGGGAGGAACCTGAGGCACAAAGAGGTGAAATGGATTGCCTGGAATCTCAGAAGGAAAGCTCTCTGCAGCCCAGCACCAATCCCAACCCACCCAGTCGCTGTTTCTGGGACTGCTCACAGCTGTGTGACAGATTTGGAAGAATCCATAGGGCAGGACATGGTTGGGATGAATATTGTGAGTGACCCTGTTGATACATCCTGGACCAGTTTCCACTTGTCTTCCATGCCAAGGCTGGGAAACAAGAAAACACCAACTATTCCCACAAAAACACCCTTCCAAGTATTGAATGGAGCTGCAATTACTGAGCACAGCCAAGCAAGCAGACCCCAGGCTTGTGGTAACTCCCTGTTGTCAGCTGGAAAATGTTTGTTTTGGGGGGATTACATGTGTGGGCTTTGCTCAGCAGAGAATTTCCAGTGGATTTAATGCAAGCTGAAAGAGTAGGAGGGAGGAGGAAAATCTCTGACATGGAATGGTCCTGTCTGCAGCAGGACAGGGCATCACTCTGATGCTCCCTGGGACCTTGGCTATGGTCACACGTGTGTGACAGAGACTGGAGGCAGCAGCCTCTTCCCCCAGTTCCAGCCTCTGGAATGCCTCTGTCCAGCTCCCAGATGAGCTAAACTGGATATTCCAGGACAAGTAGGGATTTACAAAGCAGGCAGGAGCCACCTTCCCCTCGTTAAAGTTGGAAATCACTCCAAGATCACCAAATTCAATTGTTAACCCAGCACTGCCAAGCCATCACTAACATGTCCCCAAGTGCCACATCCTTTCCCTAAAGTCACTTTGTGTTTCTCTGTCCATGCTGGATCTCCCTCCCACAAACCACAGGAAAGAGGCATTTTCAAAGCTTTTGTGGTCCATGAGAAATCACAGCCCTTTCCTGTGCCTCAATCCCTGCCTTCTTCCAGCTCCTCCACTGAGGAAATGGTGAGCATTTGCTTCAGTTCTGCAGCATCCCTGGTGTAAATAATATCCTCCATTGTCCCACAGAAACCTGGCAGGGGAAAAGGCCCTGCAAAGCTCAGAGATGGTCTTTATCTCCCAGGTAAAAGCTGGGAGCTCCTCTGCAGCTCAGCTTCCCAAAGTGATCCCAGATGTCAGCTGAGCACAGGAGCATTTCCAGCACCCTGGGGAGGATTCCATTTGCCTTTGCTATTTCCCGTTTCCCATGTTCAGCTGCCTGGATTGCATTAAGATGTTCCCTCACCATTCCCCCTCCTGGGGGTGTCCTGGTTCAGCAGGGAATAACTGCAGCATCAGCTCTCTCGTGCCTAGATATCTCTTGTCCAAGGGATCCCATCACTGTGCTCAGCCCCAGGTGCACCTCACCAAGGGGGTGACAGGGTAGGGACCAGAATTCTGAGTGCCTTGCCCTGCAAAGACCTGCCAGCTTCAGTACCAAGGTGTTCCAGCTTATTGAGTGCAAGAAAATGACCCTGACATCAAGGAGGTTTTATTAATAAAATCACAGAATGGTTTGGGTTGGAAGGAACCTTAAAGATGATCCAGTTCCAACCTCCAGCCATGGGCGGAGACACCTCCCACTGGATCAGGTAAGTCAGAGTAGGATTTCTACAAATTCACCTCTTCTGCTGAGCTTTCTGAGTAGCCATGGGTGTTTTCTCCTGTGGGGCTTTTCCTGTCTCTCTGTGCAGCCACCAGTGAAAACCGAGCCCTTCCAGGGCCCAAAGCAGCCCATTACAGCCCTGCTGGCTCAAATAGGTCAGTGACTGACGGAGCGAAATGCAGTTTCCTCTGGCTGGCTCCAGGGAGGAGCTCACCCAGCTGCAGAGGACTGCACTGTGCCTTTCCAAAGCCAGGTGGGATGAATCCCAGCAGTGGCTCTTCCTTGACTTTTTTTGCTGTAATTGTTTTAGGAAAACTCTCTTGTTATACAGACAGCAGAGCCCTGAACTTCTCTGCCATGTGCTGTGTGTTCCCACAACCCAGCAAGCATTTGGGAGGAAAGCAGGAATCAATTTGGTCTTTTGCCTTCAGCTAAGACATTCAAGGAAAAAAAAAATAAGAGAGAGGAATAGTTGTTTTATTAATATTTATTATTATTATTATTACTGTTATTATTTACACCTTTGAATTTCCTGTCTTCTCATAAATTCTAATGGGAAATGTACTCACTGGCCTTTTAACTCCCCAAACCAAACACCGTGCCAAGACTTCTCCACAGGCCAGCTTTCCTTCAGTTTGCCATATGGGATGCAGCCCTGGTTCCTACAACACAGGCAGGCAGGTCAGCACACAGCTCACAACACACAAACATGTTGTGGGCAGGAACATGACAAGCAGAGAACACCAGCAGGCATCATGTTTTTCCTGGCTGCATCTGTGCTTGTAAATAAAAGAAGGCCAAAGTGGAGTACCAGGCTCTGCTGAATTGTCTCTGATGTTTTGCTGTTAATTTTGGACTGTTTTCCACTGGAGAATGGACAGGCACAGCTTGGGATGAGCATCCATCGTGGTTTTTTTTTTCCCTTCATGGGTAAAAATTCATCCACTTTGGCTCTCTCTGCCCCATAAACTCCAAGATATTTGACTTCACAGGGACAAATATACAGAGCTAGACCAAAAAAATGCCAGGAAAAGGTCTGCTGGGTCAGGAGGTGTTGGTAAAAAAATGTTGGAAAAGGAGCTGTTTTAAAGGTTCACTCTGCTCTGACTGAGCGTGTGGTGTTTACTTGTTTGGGGCTGGTGTGGGGAAGAGAATGAGCCCTAAAAAATGGTCTGAAGTTGGATTTAAGTTTTGAAACATGGAATTTGGGGGCAGAGAGAGGATGGCAGAGGGAAATCTGTGAGGAGAACTGGGGTGCCAAAATAGAGACCCTGAGGTACCATCAGGACCTGTTCTTCTCTGGAATGTTATGGACCAGGACCACAGGTGTGGAATTGAGCCAGATCTCGTGTCCTGGACTGGGACTGGTGGCCCTGAGCTGGGTCTTGCTCATCTGCAGTTTGGGACAAACCTGCAGGCAGCTTCCAGCCCTTGGGAAGAGCCAAATGGAAAATGTCCAGGGCTCATCAGGGTCACCCCAGGGGCCATGCCATGCCTCTGGGCCTGTGCTCTTTCTTGGTGATGAATGACTCCGAAAGAAGAAGTGCAGACACTGATCCAATTACATTAACAGCACCCAAGTTTGCTCTGCACTTTCCCAGTGCCCCAGCCGAGCCAGAATCCAGGGAAACCAGCTGATAAAGCTGCCCTGCTTTACATTAGCAAAGGCAATCTGATTAACTCCCCAGCAGGGGCAAGGCACAGCTCCGAACTCCAGCTCAACTTCCACATCAGAGACCTCCGGTGAATTGGATCCAGAAGAGGCAGCTGTGAGTTATGGGGCTGGAATTCCATCAAGGGCTTCTGGGGAGGTCACAAACCACTAAACAGCTCTCACAGCCTCCCCCCGCCCCTCTTCCCGTGCACCGTACCCAAGCAGAATTACAGCCCCATAATTCAAAGGGGGGCTGTTTGTCTGCAGGAGGACAAATGCAAGGAGCCATCTGGGGCTGTAAATTCATCCCTCTTCCTGCCGTTCTTCCATCTTCACAGGATGGGGATTCCAGGCTTCACCCAGCGCTCCTCACTTTCCCCACTTTCATCTCCTTTCTCCTTCTTTCCCTTCTTGGTAGAGACATAAAAGCAGTGGGTGTCCCACAGTGCTGACCACTCACACACAATGCCCTTCCCTTCACCCTGGAGAGTGAGAGCAGTGCTCACTCTACTCCTCAATCCTATTTATCCACAACCCATTCCCTGGCACAAGCCAGACTGCAAACATCCAACCCACATTAAACTTCCTC